GCGGGAACACAAAAACCGCATGGCGCACGATACATTACTTCGTGCTTCTCCAAATAACAAGGTGTCTCTCTCTATCTCGTTCAGGTCGAAGTCACAGAGTGCAGGAGAAATCCGAACGGCTTCCGGGCATCCTTGGAATGCGACGTGAATGGTATTGACCTGCCCGAACTCGCCTCGACGGTTAACCGCTAGGGTGATGCCCAACAGGTGTCGTGCCGCTGGCGATGGGGTGACCCATGTGTATTCGTGTACGCGGAAGAAGTACGGTAGGTTCACGTCGAAACGGGATGCACGAGGTAGGCGTGCTTGGTTTAGAATCTCCTCTCGGTCTCGACTGCGGATTACTGCTTGTGTGGGCCGCAATGAGAAGACGTAGACGAGGTCCTTCACTGAAACTTGAGAAACATCGAATCCTCGCCTGCCGGAAAGAATGTTGACAGAGTCCTGTGCCAACGGGATGCAGTGAAGCTCCCGGAGATCCGGTCCGGGGATAAAAAAATCCTTGGCCTCTAAGATGACGCCTTGGCCATAACCACGGGCTACGACTTGGTACAGTACAGGACGTCGTCCTCCGCAGGATGGTGGGAACACAGTTGAAGCGGGAGAGGCATCAACAGGAGCCCATGGAATACGTCGGATATCGGGAGTATCATCACGGAAGTCCCCGTCGAGCAGGGCGATGGTGAGCTGAACCGCATGCTGACGGAAGGCGACAACGTCGTGGAATCGTACGAGTTCGATTATCGGTACCGGATTGGTTGGAGAAGGCTCCCCGTCGAAGCGACGTGGAAACAACGATCGGACGAAGCGAGTGGCGAAGTAGCCGTTTTGCGGAATGTGTCGATAGACGTGAACCGGAAGAGCCGCTGTGACCTCGTTCTCTCTCGGCTGAAGCACGTGCCGTCGTGGTGCGACGTATTGGCCCCAAGGATGGAGATGAGCAAGGGGGCTAACATAGTCGGCGGGAGCATCCCTCCAGCGAGGTGGATAGGCAGGATGAGGCTGGATTCCCTTCGGCCGTGGTGGTGGTGCTGATGTTCGCAACCGCTTCGAGGGACCGGCAGCATCGTCCGGCAGCAGCCAATGATGATGATGGCCTCGAACGAGGAGATGATGGATTTCGAAATTCGGCAAAGGCCTTTGGTGGGAGGCGGACGTGCGGCGACCATCCTAGCGACGAAGACGACGCAGGTGTAGCGGAAGTGGATGGTGTCGACTGCAGTGAGAGCTGCTGCATCTCCTTAGGTTCTAGAAGTAGCGGAGATGAAGGTACCGCAAAAGGATCAACGGTTGGGGGTAGCGGAAACTCACCGATCGCCGTAGATCCTGATCCTGTTGAAAGGCCGCTGGAGCCCGCCATGTTTGCCGATGAGACCGAGGCCCGTTTAGTGTCTGATAACTGGGCAGAAGCCCGAGGCCTGACTGAGTCCCCTGCAACGGCGGATGGTGCGAACCAATCCGGCGCGACTTCGAAGTCAAAAAGCAGCTTACCCTCAGAAGCCTCCGTTGAGATGGCAGCTGCGGTGGCTTGTGAAGGAGAGGTGGCGGGACCGCTAGAGAAGAGTCGAGGCACGTTGCAACCGCTATCTGAAATACGTAAAAATACGTCCCAGGAGATTTTACAAAGGAGTCTGGGAAGGCGCCTACCCGTCGAGATGGGGTTAAGGGGGGAGGAGCGTCGATCTGCCTCACGTGATGCGGAGAGAATTTGAGGGCGACTGTGAGCAGACGCAGTAGTCGACACGGTTGGTGTGGGTGTCGAAGATGTCGCCGTTGAATCCGGTACTTCGAGTGGCCCTATAAGATGGAGGGGTGAGGGCGGCTAAGGCACTACGCAAGGCATCCGGACGGAAGCTTACCCGGCGCCACAGAAAGTGGCGTTGTACGCGAATGTAACAAGTCCGGAGTGAGTGCGCCAGTCCGAGAAGTGTCTGAGAGCTGGGCACAAGCCCGCAGATTCCGTGAGCCTCCTGGAAAGAGAACACCAGTGCCTGAACGAGGAAGTTAACGACGGGTACGGGGTCGAGGAGTGACTTACCCTCGGACGGTACCGACAAGATGGCTGCTGTCGGGATGTAGGCGTCGGAGGGAGAACTGCTGATGTGGCTCTCGCTTGCTGCAATAATGCTATGGTGCTGCGTTGACGATGGAGGAAGTCCGCGGAAGACACCTACCCATTATCTGCTGACTGATGGCAATCGGAGGGTTACCCTCCCTGGTGGGGCCAGCTGCGGTTACGGTGTTCCCGGAAGAAGGAGATTCCGCCGACGAAAGTCGAGCGACTGTGCGAGCGTTAGCGTCACCGGGGTCCATAATTCCAAGTTCTGCAACGCTAGCAATCAGCAGTGTGGTTGTGAGACCGGGCCGCGGAAATACCGACGTGACGATAACGGCCGAACTCAGAGCGATGTACCAAGCCAACGATGAGACTAGGAGTAGACCAATGGTGAAACGTCAATGGGGACTCGAGAGGTCAAGGCAAAAGGTATATCTATGAATTGCGTAACCAGGATGTATCAAAATGAAAAGATGGTATGATCAGAAAGGTGAGTTGTAGTCGAAAGAAAGAAGGAAAAAAAGGAAAAAAGCGTGTAAGAGTGAAGGTGGCGTTATCCTGACGTTGGGCTCGGTTGTTAGCATGACTGAAGTCGCGTCCTGAAACGAGTATTATAAGAGTGAGCAGGTAA